TCCATTTAAAAAATTCAAAGTGACCTTGTCCTGACCTTGACGACGCCACTCAGGGTCAAACCAATGTTATCGTCTTATGTCCCCCTCGAAACCCTACAACTTTTGTCTGAAACATTTTTTCCTAGTGTGCTTATTTTTCGAGATATTTGAAAGTTTCAGGTTAAAAAAATCACCCTGTATGTTAATTTTGAAATAAATTAACTTTCAACATCAGGGGCAACGTTTACTTTCTAAAGGAATAAAATTAAATTTAAAAGTAAAATTCAAAAAATTTTTCTGAGTACCAGTAAAATTCCATGAGAATCCACGATTTTCAAAGGTAAAAATAAAATTCCCTGAGAATTCCAGGTTTTCCCGGTAGTACCCACCCTGGAATCGGAAGCAGACGCACATCGAGACGCGCGCTTACCCGTCATTGTTGTAATCTCTCTCTTTCAACATGTTAATATGTCTCTTCTTCAGCAACAAATTTTGACCTTCCACTATGAGCAGAGGTCTGCTGATCCTGCCGGCGTCCGTGTATATCCTTATCTCGCGATCCCTGATGTCGCGGACCATCGACACCTCCGACACGATGATGTCCATTTGCCGTCTCAGTTTGCGCAAAGTGGCCATCAGCTGATCCGGATCCCGGTGGATGCCGACCCAGCATCCGTTGACGAATATCTTCGTGGCGTCGGCGATCGCGCTCGGCGCTATCTCCTCGAGGTTCTCCATGGACCACTCCTCCAAGAATTCCAGGATAGGCGAGGGCTGCGACCCGACGCTTATGTACGCCATCAGGGCCAGATTTTTCACCAGCCCCACGGCAGCGCCCTCGGGGGTCTCCGCGGGGCAAAGCATGCCCCACAGCGTGTTGTGCAGTTGACGCGGTTTCGCGAGTTTACCGTCTCTCCCGATCGGCGAGTTCACCCGCCTCAAATGCGACAGCGTCGACGCGAAGGTCAATCTGTTCAGCACCTGCGACACACCCGCCCTCGCCTGATGCGCCTTCTTCTGGTCGCCCCAGTTGCCCGTGGCGAGCGAATACCTCAGGCCGTCCGTGATAATTTTCGTCTTGATGGCCAGCTCGAGATTGAAGTCCTTCCCGCGATCTATGAATTTCTGCGCGTACAAGCGCACCTCCTTCATCAGGTTCTTGAACAGACCGCGGAACAGAAACGCCAGCAGAGGCCCGGCCAGGTCCAATCTCTTGTTACCATAATGATCGCGGTCGTCCAGTTCCCTGCGTCCCAGAGACGCCGACAGCAATCTGTGGACCATGTAGCCGAGGAAGTAGGCCTTCTTAGTTTCGCAGAAGTCGCTTATCCCAACGTGCGGCAGCATCTCCTTCTGCAGGATCTCTCGGGCGTATTTGATTCGCTTCTCCTTGGTGACGCCGGGCTTGGCGCCTCTGGTGCCGATAAAGTTCAAAGCGACATTCTGCTCCTGTATGACGAAAGCCTCGTCCAGGGACGGCTTCACCATTTCCATCATCTCGGGATCGTCGAAATCGTAAATAATGTGCTCGAGGATGTCGCGATCGGCCACAAATCCAAGCGCTCGGAAGACCACCATTATGGGAATCTCCTGCTTGATGTAAGGAATAATAGCGATGATGCGTTGACCTATGGCGGACTTCTTGATACTGGCGCCGCTCTTGGCCATCATGTTGATCCACAGAGTCGAGGTCGGACGCGAGCTGTGCTCCAAGCAGGACCGGATTTCCGCCTTGTAGGCATACTTGCCGTCCTTCATGCTGAACACGTAGACGGTGTTGGTCGCCATTTTCTCCTGCGCTATAAGGACCTTCTCCGAGCCGTTGATAATGAAATATCCGCCGGGGTCCAGCGGGCATTCGTTCAGCTCCGTCAAGTCGCGATCGGACAGGCCGGCGAGCAGACAATACTTGGACCTCAACATAATCGGGATTTTGCCGATAAACGTTTTCTGATGTTGCGTCTCAACGGGCTCCTCGTCGTCCTTCTTAATCGTCTTGGTGATGTCCACGTACAACGGCGCGGAGTACGTTAAATTTCTCAATCTGGCCTCATTGGGCATCATGGGAGACGGCGCGCCGTCTTTCTCCCAGTGGGTCGGCTTCGACAAGTAGATCTGCTCGAATTTCAACAGATGTTTCACGGGCTTCTCTATCTCGCCCGTGGTGTGCTGCGCCTCCGCCTGCAGTTCGATCTGCGGCGAGTCCTCGACGATACGCTGAACGGACATTTCGATGAATTCATCGAAGCTGTCCAGCTGCTGCCGTACAAGTCCCTTCTCGTCGAAGTACGCGTTGATGAGGATCCAACAGGCTTCTTGCCAAAGTTTCGACGAGATTTCATCCGCGTCTTCCTCATCGTATTGATCTAGGATAGATAAATGGCTTTTTTTTAATAAGTTTTCTTAAATCCAGCAATATATAAATTGAAAGCAAAAAAGAAAGCATTTAAATGTTTGTTTTCTTTAATGTTGAAATATATGGCGATTTTTTTATGTATTGAATGCCATGTTAATTATCGACACTTTAAAGGTTTTTTTAAGTTTTTTTTAATGGCTTTTTTATAAGTTTTCTTAAATCAAGCAATATATAAATTGAAAGCAAAAAAGAAAGCATTTAAATGTTTATTTTCTTTAATGTTGAAATATATGGCGATTTTTTTATGTATTGAATGCCATGTTAATTATCGACACTTTAAAGTTTTTTTAAGTTTTTTTTTAATGGCTTTTTTATAAGTTTTCTTAAATCAAGCAATATATAAATTAAAAGCAAAAAAGAAAGCACTTAAATGTTTGTTTTCTTTAATGTTGAAATATATTTTTTTATGTATTGAATGCCATGTTAATTATCGACACTTTAAAGTTTGTAGAAGACAGTGGCTGTGTTGGATAAAAAAGCAGCTTAATAAGAATTTTATGCTAATTAGATTATATTGTGAGAAATAGTTCTAACTCAATTTAGAGCTAAAAGTATAATCAGCGCAAAGTTTGTAAACTGTTTTTTCTGTTGAATGCAGGCCAGTATGATTCTGCTGGATTGTTTGTATACAATCGTATACTGGCAATTTTGTTATTTGCTAAGCTAGAAATTATGTAGTCTGCTGGCCACACTGCTGGCTGGTCTGTCGAATTTTTGTATCATTTTGTACTAGTCATTGTAAAAGCCAATAAAGAAAGATCATATCAGATCAAAATATTGTCTCCAAAATCAAAATATTGATGTTGGTTTGTTACGTTTATTCGAATACTTCTGTCAAGTGTCTTTTGTTTAAGTTTCTTTTGTAAATTCCATCATTTCTTCAGCTAATATTGAAGCTAATAGTATAAAATCAAGCCAGCAACATAATCAACAGCACTGCCAGCATCACTGGCCTGATGGCAGCAAGCACATAAATTCAGCTGGTAACAAAGCAGGTATAAATACATTATACTTCATTTCTACCAATGTAGATTAACTTTAATTCTCGGTTTAACTTAATTTGTATCTTTTTCCAGTTCTAAAAATTAGAAAAACATAAACAGTGAATTAAACCAAGATTAAAATTAATCTACATTGATAGAAATAGACATATGTGGCACAAGCTAAACTTTCAATGGCAATCATTGATTATCAATCATTCAAATTCAATAAAACTAATAAAAAATAATATCTCAAACGCAGTAAATGCAGTTAATGTTAAAAGTAAAATTTACAGTAAATCTTAAAAAAAAAAAAAAACGAAATACATGATACTTTTGCAAAATTCAATTATGCAATACTTAGACATGTGCGTCTAATAACAGTGAAAATTTTACTTCATAGACAAATGTCTCAACAAATGAATTGGAACCATTCAACGTGTTGATAAAAGTTTATAAAACTCAAAGATGATTTCAAAAATAAGTTATCAAAATAGAAGCCTAGAATTTGTATAAAAATCAGCGAAAGAAAAAACATTTGATCAAAAGATACTGGGAATATTGTAAAGAAAATAAAAGATATAAGATTTCAAATTTGTTTTTCTTAACTTTATTTCTACCAATGTAGATTAACTTTAATTCTCGGTTTAACTTATTTTGTATCTTTTTCCAGTTCTAAAAATTAGAAAAACATAAACAGTGAATTAAACCGAGATTAAAATTAATCTA